CGTCTCAAGCAGGACAGGACAGGGGCCGCAAACCCAGGAAACGAGCGAAGGATTGAAACAAAAAGAGCGAATTGGAAAACGGACAAAATTATAGCAATTATTTGCGGAAAGGCCCCGAACAGCCGCTTCTCAGACCGTATTCAGTCGTCAGGACTCGGGGTAGAAGTTGGTGGAGTGCAAGTCGAGAGGTTTCAAGTAAATAATTGTTTGGACAGTCTGGGGAAATCCAACGGCGGGCCGAAGTTTAATGTCACGTGATATCGATGCCCCTGACGGCGAGCAGCCAGGTTCAACAGAATCGAATTCAGCACCTTAAAAGTTTTTATAGATCTACAAGTTACAGGGTTTGCTTTGGTTAATAAACTAAATTATTTTCTCCTCTTCATTATTCCCCTGCCCCTTTCTCTCTAGCTGGGTAGGATGTTCATAGATCTATCATATCTCAAGTCTGTAGAGAAATTCAATAAGACAACAAACGTCACGTCTAACCAACCATGTCCAGATCAAAAATAGCAAGCAACAGGTTGGTAAACAAGGGCTGCACATAGTCCATGCTGTCCGGTAGGGGATACACCGGACTAAATAGATACATGCCCATGGAATAACAGAATCAATAGACGTAGTAAAAGAAGGAATTAGGAACACCAAACAACTCCCAGCGGAAAGAAAAAAAGAAAACCAGAAAGCCAAATAATATATCCGCCCGTATCGTAAGGTCGTGTAGTGTGGATTAGTCGTGGTATGGGTGCGAATGTACGCCGGAGTTTTTTGTTTTTTCGCTGTAGCATGTATATACAGTACAAACTTTTTTCTCTGCTCCTGTCAAAGTGGAAGGGTAATCAATAACCCAAAAACGGAAAGTTGAAAAGAAGAGAACAGGAAATATTACAGGGGATAATATATATGTATATGTAGATGGGGTCTGGTAGGGGGGGGGGGGGGATAGCTGTACAACGGGTGTTGGATAGGAAGGGTTATTAAGGTAAATGGAAGTGTATGAAAAATAAAAAAATGAAAATCAGTCAGTATATATAACTGGCCGATCCCGTCGAAAGAAATGAGTCCAGCACATTCAAGACAGGCAGAGAAGATACAATCTAATTCCGCCAGCCGACATTCCAAATAACATGGGCAATATCTCTGGCGGTGTTGACAGTATCAACCACTTTGCCGAGAAGTCCATAGTTCGCATTCTCTTCATCGTCTTCGTACTGATCGTGTTCGTCGCTATGAATATCATCATAGTCAAATGAGAGAAACCGCTTCTGGGATAAATATGATCCCTGATCATCTTTCCGCTGCGCTTTCGGATCCGAGAACCACGTCCCATTGAACGTAGGGGTGTCTTCCGATCCTTTCCGAGGCGACTGCAATTTTGTATCCACGTCTGATGTGACGGTAGCGTCGTCGTCGTCGTCGAGAAGGAAGTTATCATATGGGGGTTGTTTTGGCGGTCGGAGGGTCTCCGTTGACGGGGTGTGAGATAGTCGTGGGAGTGGTAGAGGCCACCATGGATATGGGTTAGATCGGACTGGGGTTGTAATTTCAGGCTCTGGCGTATCCCTGCCGTATTTCAGCGTTGTTGGCGGTAGAGGGGCAATTGTTTTGCTGTCGCTGCTGAAACTGCTGCGTGGGGTGGTTTCATTGCTTAGCGACGAGCGATACGGCATCTCTCTCATCATCAGAACGCTATCAACAGAGGACTGGTCATCATCTATTGCGCAGGTATCGTCGATATCATCGTAGTAGTAATCATCCCTCCCTTCCACCGCGATGCACTGCGAAACTTCGTCATTGAAGCTAATATGCCGTCGCTCGTTGGGGGATTCAGTGCCAGTCGATACCGTCTCTATCCAGTTAACAGTGACACCTTCTGGCTCGCTTCCGGGCAGGGGGTAATCAGAGCTCGATCTCCCTAGCCGAGGACGGTCTCCACGGTTGTCGGCTGCTTGGGCCTTCAGAATTGCCCCGGCATGGCTGAGGAGAGTGCGGGTTACAATTGATCGCTGGAGTATGGCTTGGGATGCGGTTCTTCTTTTCAGGATCGGTTTCTTGTGTAGAAAGGAACTAGAGGTGGAAAGGCGAGTAGGTGGAGGGGAAGAGTTGGATGGGGTTCGTTTGGAGGCGGTCTGTAATGGGCCATATAGCCAGGTCACATCGCAATCTTTGAGCCTATATCGGCAGTTAGCACAACTCCCATACTCCCATCAGCGAGTTTGAAATTGAATGGCGTACCAATTTAACGATTCCGGGGTAACAGTGCCAAGCTTATATTTCGCCTTTGCCCACGTCCTCCAAGAAGCATTCTCAAGCCTCATACTATTGCTATACGCATTCCGTCTAGAAACCACATATCTCCACGAGCTCCATATATCTTCTTCTTCCCAGTCATGCGACAAATAATCAACATGCCTTGTAGGTTCATCGTGTATCAAGGAGTCATCTCCTACTATCCGGGGCATTGAGGTGTCATGCTTGGAATCATCGATTGTAGGCGGAGGGCTGGGCACCGGTGAGGATATTGATGGCTGAACAGTTTCTTCGTCTTCTTCTTTAGCACAATATGCCGTATCGTACGAAGGGAATAATATGTCGTCGTCCTCTGGTTCTTCGGGTGTGGGTGGCAGAGTGATGGACGGAGGATTCGGGGAATAGAGAGGACGGCTTAAAGGGAAAGGCGATGAACTGATAGGAGAGGACACTGCCGTTGAGTCGTCGGAAGAGGATACATGACTGCTAGCGGAATAGTACTGTGGTTGGGGGGATTTCAGGTAGGCATCGCGGGAGTCTAGGAAGTACGGGCTGTTTGTCTTCCGCCGCAGAGGGTCTGGGGAGTACGAGTCATCTCTCTCAGGGAGACGAGGTGGCACGCTGGCCATGGTCTGAGCAGCATAGGCGTCCTGCAATGCCTTGCACGGTGTGGTTTGTGAGAGAGCTTCCACAAGGTGAGGTAGCTTGTCGGGAGGAATTCGGATAGAACTAAAGCGATAGCGCAACCAAACTATTTACCAGCAACAAGCAAGCAAGATCTGGGCGAATGTCTTTCCAAACTACCTAGCAGGAATCCGGGGGAGTGATATCGGGAGAGGTAAGGAATTGGACGGAAGAGAGCTCAGTCAGGATATTGGTGGTGTTAGAGATCGAAGGGTGGCGATGACGGGCCACAACAAGCTGCACAGTCAAGCAGAATCGAGGAGATTCGCGGCAGATACCGTGGCTGTTGTATATCGCAGAGGAGGCGGGCGGAGGGATGGGAGACGGAGCCAATTCTGTGTTTCTGGGGATGTTGACGTTGTTCGCTGGTTGAAGTTCGCGCTCGATTTTGGACAGAACCGGAAGCTGGAGTGTAAAATACCGTACGGAAATCTGTAATTCAAATACATACGTCAATCATCGATATCAACCATCAAATATCAGAGCAGAACACACAACGAGGAGCGGCTTCTATAATATAAGAACACAGTCACCAGGGCCAAGGGAAGCTGGGAAGGATCTGGCCTTTGCTCCCATATCCCAGCCCGAGTCCAAGGCTTTTTCTATCTTCTCCCGACGCCACCAGAGTGGGCTCGACATTCCGGTCCTTTTCGCTATCTCCAACACTAGTAACTTGTACTGGCTAACTATGTCGCCTCTTCGAGGCGTGTCCCTATCACTCCAGGGCTCTGTGCGACTTTAATCTGGATCAGAGTCAAACTGGGCAATGTCTTGTGTCAGTGATTCATCCCACTTGGTGCTACATGCGTATCTAGCTATCGGGAAACCTGAGGATGTGTCTTACTCCCACCCCCAGCGAAGGGTCTCTCCCATATTCTCGAGGAGGAAAGCCTGGTTGATGTGATTTGGTTAGATCCTTGCGTCAAAGCCAGGCATAAACAGGGTCTGACGGCGCAAACCATGCTTCCCAACGACGATAAAGGAGCAACCAACCCAGGCTGAGCCGGCGGGGTCTGGTAACTAACTAGCTGCATTGCGCTCTTCTGATAACTACATATATCGATCCTTGACAATATGCATGCAGCTCGGGCCACCGTTGATAACATCATCTTTGCAGGCTATCAACAATCAAATGAACCTTATGTTCATGTCGCTGTGACTCCCAGGTTCAGCCTTCCAGACCCTCTCTCTCTCTATATATCCAGCGTCAACGAAGACTCGCGGGACATTCCGGGTGCTATCGACTTCTTGCCCGTCGAACCCTTCCAGAAAACAACAACCATGAACGAATAATCCCCGTCGCGGGCCCTGAGCACGAAATCAAAACCCTAATAACAACCTCCCTCCCCCAGATCCAGATTCCACAAAACATAGAGTAAAAAGAAATCTCTCTGACGCCTCCAGACTCCAGAGCGCGCACTGTGCAATACCCGTCTGTTCCCTTTTACTATTTTTACCACCTATCGCCCCCCGTCAAAACAGGTGGATTTCCAAGCGGAACAAAAAGTGGGTAATTGACTGGGCCTAACGCGATGCCCATTGCCTAGAACAAGTTTTATGCTGGAGACCGGATGCCAAATCGCCAATCGGTTGTGGTCGTGGCCCCTCGACGCTCGTAGCCGCTGGAGGGGTCCGAGGGGGATCAATGGGGCCTGGAACAGTGGAACGGGGATAGTTAGGGCAGGGTTGAAAGCTGAAGTCGTGGTCTGGGGAGGGATGCGAAGTTTATTTTTGAAGTTATCAGCAATAATTGCGCTGAGATGAACACGTATCAGACGGGGCAACTTCATTGGTGGAGGGTGGAAAAGAGGGATGAGGGCTTCAAAGCCTGGATAAATAAATTGTTTGTGCCTGCCTTGTCTTGTCTTGTCTGTGTGATGGCGAAGTTGGGGCTGGCGAGTTTGTATATCATACAGCTTGTCACTCTACCACAGTGACGAAACTATCCAACTTTTAACAGTAATAAAAAAGAGATAGACAGACGTACAAAATAAGATGAATTGAAACTGAAAATAATACCTGGTTAAGTTATCTAGGAACCAAAAAAAAAAGAAGAAAAAAAGAAATGCCCACACTCAGAATCGAACTGAGAGTCTCATCATTACTAGTGATGCGCTTTACCATTAAGCCATGCGGGCGTTTGTTGGGGGAAGCTGTCCCTGGTACGATTTATAGCCAGATAGTAAGCAATACACGATGGCAGCTAGGAACTACAATGGATGTGCCCACCTTCCCTCTTAATTCACATTGCCCATGTAAGAATAGGGTATTCTAGGGGGTTCATATTTAAATCATACCTTCCCACCCCATAGTTATTCATTTCTACCCTCGTTGGAATCCATAGCATATACCACCTGAGTCAAGTCACTCCCGCTGGATGTATTAGACGGACCCCTTGAGCCATCATGGACACGGGAGCCGTTATCCTGCTGCAGGAGTTGCGCATATATGCCGGGAGGAAAACATGCAGGAGAGAAGGGGATGAGGACAGGGACTCGATCCAAGGATTACATATGTATTCATAAGTGTAGATATGTCGACGGGTAATATTCGATCTCATGGTGTTCGTAGACGAAATACCAAGAAGAGAAAATATTTAGGCAGGGTAATAAACGAAACCAGATATCCAATGCGAGAAGCCAAAAATAGGACAATCTTGATTTTGTCCATGTTAGGGGAATCCGTGTCCCACGGAGCTGGGGTGAAAAGCAAAAACCGGTTGCAAGTGCCATGTTCGGGGTTGGAGGAGTAATGATGCCAGGACCAAATCGTCGTGGAATATTCTGCACCGCTTGTTTATAATACATGGAGGTACAAAGGTGTTGAAATGTATATTATGCTGTTCGCTAGCTCGATTCGTGATAAGGGCGCTGGAACCTTGGATAATGCAATGACAGACGGATTTCCCTAAATGGTAGAAGACGGGTGTCTTTTACAACAACCCAGGTCCGCAATCTAGAAGCTGGAAGTGACTCGGGGATTCCTAGACATGCCAGGCGAGCTAGCTCGTACAGGGACTGCTGAAACAGAATCTTGGAACCTGCTGTGTTCAGCGCACAACTATACCGTACCGGCGGGTGTTGATTTAGACAATGTCTCCAATGGCATGGCCTGGATCGATATTGACAGGATGCTTCCCAGCCTCCTGTGGCATGGTCTATGCAAGGTATACGATATCGATAGCATCATAATCCCTAATCGATAGAGGGGAGAAGAAACTCGCTTTGAGTCGTCGATAGGAAATCAAGCCCCAAGGTACCAACGGCCAGGCGATGGATCCCGCTTGACTGGCACTGGGAATGGATCGAGACCTTCAATCGAGAAATTGATGCCGGATATGTTCCTGTCGCCAAAGTTCCTCAACTGTGTTTTCATCAACGAAGCAAGAAGATAAATTAGTCCAGCCCCTGATTTCATTATGTTTCAATCCGCCCTGATTCCATGCCAATCGGATAAAACCATTGAATGATAAAAAAAAAACCAAAAAGAATAAGAAAACTCACCTTCCCAAACATCTTAAACAGAATCAACCTCGACCCCTCCTCCCCAAGAATATTCGCCCTATACATCGAGAACTCCCCCGTCAACACGATCCTCAACTCCTCCAAACAATTCCCCACGCACCAAACATCCAACAGCGTATCAATCGTCCGCGCCCACCTGCTCGCCAGACTCGTAATATCAATCTTCAGCGTCACTCTGCGCGCCTTCTGAAGCGCCCCCTCACAGATAAACATCGTGATATCCACCGGCCGGCCCAGTGCAATCGAGTACGGCGGCGGCTCATCGATGACGAGCTCCTGCGAGAGTAGCACGGGCAGGGCTTCGTAGGTTATTTGGCGGTTGAGGAGGAACAAGTTGGGCGTGGCGTAGTCTGATTCTGGGATGCGGGGCGGGGGTAAGGTGCATTTGGGATTGGATAATGAGGGCATGCTCCCCATGTAGTATTCGGGGGAGGATGGGGGCTGGTATGTAAACCAGGTCGCTTCGTCTTGTTCGCATTCAATGCGGAGACGGGCGAATGGAACGCGCAGGTTTGGCCAGCTTAGGGAGAGGCTGTAGATTTCTAACCTGATTTCGGGAGGGAGGTCGAGGAATGATAAGGGTGTGCCGGGCTCTGTGATAGATGGGGGCATTTTGGGTGCAAATATTGCTAACAGAGGGCGCCTTTTTTTTCCCTTTCTTCTTCTTTTGGCTGGAGTCAAGGCAAATTCAATGAACAATATATGGGGATGAGTTGATGGGAAGCGCGGATTGGAGAAGCGGATTTTATATCTGACTGGGGGGGCAGATCGAGGACGGATTGATTATTTGAGAAGTGTCCTGTTGTTACGCGGGATAGCACCCCGATTTATACCACCTCTAGGCTTGACCAAACGGTAGCGAAAGGCATATCCGCTGGTTTGTGATTTGTTTGTAGAATCATCAAGGGAACGATGCGCATGAGGCTCTTTCCGCGGCGTTGGGGGCGGTTCGGCTTAAGCGCTGCAGTAAGCGCTAGCCGCCCTGAACAGGGGGTAACTATTAACCAAACTACATTCAATCAACCTCATCCTTTGTCTGCTTTGACATTTAGTTTGCAACTTATTTACTGTTGGAATTCAAGAACTGCAACACAAATATAGTCATAGTAGAAAGCGGTAACTTAACTTATCCTGCAATAGCGAAGCAACAAATCACAACAATGGGACCAAAATAGATCAAATCCCCTTAATTCGGAATATTGGTCAAGATGATCAAATAGCAATCAAATTCAGAAAATCTCCATCGCATAATTGATGCCCTGACGTTCATCACCCCTCATCCCTAACCGCTGGAGTAATGGGCCCCCCTTAGGGCACAGGCTTGGGCCCGGGCTTGATATCTCTATTGGCATTGGTGAAGCCAATATCATACTTCTCCACGCCGGCTGGTCTTCGCCCGGCATCAAAAATAGGTTATCCCATACTATACGTCTTAATGTCCTTGTTATCAAAAGAAAAATCATATGTATCCCATCATCCATCCATCAGTAACAGAAAAAACCCCACCATTCCATCCTATCCCAATCCAATCAAACAAACCCAAAAAACAATCGAGATCGAGAAAACCAAACAAAAAAAAGAAAGAAAGAAATCACCCACCCCCCTTCTTCTTCTTATCCTCCACCAACTCAACATTATCCTCCGGCACCACCCCCCCATAAACCTCCATCAACCAGTCAAACACATCATCACTGACATCACCCTGCACCGTAATCTCCTCCCCAGACCCTCCCTGCGCCGTCGCCGCCACCCCACTAACGGCCTTCGTCACACTACTCCCCGTCGCAAACTTCTTGCCCAGTTCTTTAGCTATTTTCTTATTCTCCAGCCCGTGCGCCTCCAGGCCGGAAATCACGGTGACGTATTTCCGCTTGTTGCGCTCGACGCGCTTGATTTGGACCTTTGCGGCGGCTTTGCGTTCCTGGTTACGTGTTTCGGCTAGGGCGGCTTTGGCTTCCTTTTTGGCGGCGTCTTTGGCGGCGCGTTCGCGCGCGGTGAGGGAGAGGGTGTTTAGGTTTGCGGATATGGTTTCTGTGGTTGTTTTGTTTGTTTGTTAGTCTGAGTAGATATGAAATATTTTTCTTTTGTTTGGGTTGGTTATGAGATCCTGTGTCGAGAGGGAGGAAGAAAGCCCAGCGGACACCCAGGTGGGGGAGACCTCTTGCTCAGGGGAGAACCAGGGATGGGATTAGGCATACCATCGGAATATAACCGCTGATGCATATCCGGATGATTCTTCTCTAGCCATTCCTGGCACTTTTTCACAGTGCCGCCGAATTCGCAATACTACACACGCCATATTACTCCCCCCAACGGCGAAACCTTAGCCATTTTGTTCTGCCCCTCCGTTGAATTGGATTGGGAAAGGAAAAGCGCTTTGGAAGATCTCATTGTATAATGGACGGGGAGCCGTCACGTACCTCGGGTGGGAGCGAGCAGACTGGATAAATGTTAGTTTATCTGTTATGCCCGTTTGGCTGCTGGCGGGGTGGGATATGGATTTGCATGGCGGGGCTGGAGGAGGGGGATTGCACTCACCTCCGCAATATACTACATGTCTCGCCTGGGGCTCTGCGGGTGCTTCAGCTGTGTCTGCCATGTCTGTGGTGGATTCTGCGGTGTCTGAGGAGAGAGGGAATATTTTCCTATCACCACGCGGAGGCTGTGAGGTTCGTTTGGTGGTGGTGAGATCATGGGCGAATGCTGGCTGTAAATAATGTATGGTGATGTATTGGTATTACCGGATTATAGTGGGGCCGGCCCCGCAGTATCAAGCCATTGACTTCAGCTCCTTCTTGCTCTTTTGATTTGTGTCTGGCACGGCAATCTTGGGGCTGCAAATATATTGCTAGGCTTGAATAATGGTTTTGGGGGATCCCTAACTGTTTCCCAGGTGCCACATTGAATTGAGATTGTTCCCCAGCACTGACTGGTAAGTTTCTGCCCATCAGGATCATTTGCACCACAGAGAAAAACAATGAGCAATGCAGTCCCTGAAGCTCAAGATGATGAGATTCAATGTTACTAAATGCTAAACCAATCCTAATTAATGATTGCAATCTAGGGTAAGTCCAAACAGACACAAAACGGTCACAAACATGCCTAACAATCAGATACGAACATCATTAATACCTAGCCCCTTTTCCAAAACCTAACCCATGAAAACACAAATACGACTGTTGATAGCTACCGTTGAGGAATACATCAATTAAGAATGGGTTAGCAATTCATGAAGTTACTGAACCTGCCACGTACCGGTCTCTCAGGTGCTGCAATGGCCAGAGAAGACACAACTCATCTGCATGGGTCCAAGGCATCCACCACTCGGTATAAAAAAGGCCTTACATTGAGCTCTGACGCCAGAGCGGGACGGTGTGCGCCGTTGAGCCCTCTTGGATGTATTGGTACCCCGGCATTCCCATGAGACATTGGAATAAGCACATCCCCCGCAGCGAGGACGGAATTTGTCAGGTTTATGCTTTTGACAGAACTGCAGTTCTGTCCTCATGGATCATGCATTAATGATTCCTGAGCGAGGAAGGACCTGGGGATAACTCACGCATACAGTACATCAACCCAAAGCGACTGATCTAAACCTGACTCGGGGGTATCAG